AAGAAGCAAGCCTCTGTGTAAAAACAAAGAAAAAACAAAGCAAAACAAAACACAATGCACATATCTGTAGTCCCAGCCATTTGAGAGGCTAAGGTGGGTTTGAGATCAGCCTGGGCAACACAGTGAGATTCCATCTCAAAAAAGAAAGCAAAACCCACAAAGGTAAATCTTTATGGTATTTGCATTTGGTAATAGATTCTTAAATATACCACCAAAAAGCATAGGTAACAAAGTAAAAAAATAGATAAATTGAATTTTATTAGAATTAAAATCTTTGTGTATAAAATGATACTATCAGGTACAGGAGAAAATATTTACAAATAATTTATCTGATAAGTATCAAGTATTGAGAACATATGAAGAAATATTAAAATTCAACAACAAAAAGACAACTCAATTTAAAAATCCCAATTAAAAGTGGACAGTGGCTTGAATAGACATTTTCCAAAAGAAGATATATGGATGGAGAACAAGTACATGAAAAGCTCCTCAATATTTTTAGTCATTGTGGAAATACAAATCAAATCACAATGAGATATCTCTTCACACCCAGTAAGATGGCTATAATAAAAATAAAACTGAAAATAACAAGTCTTGGTGAGAATGTGGACAAACTGTAACATTTCTGTGCTGCTGATGGGAACATAAAATGGTGCAGCCACTGTGGAAAATAATTTGGAGGTTCCTCAGAAAGTTACACATAGAATTACCATATAGCCTAATAATCTCCATGCATCTCTCTGGTATATACTCAAAAGAATTGAAGATAGTGAAACAAATACTTGTACATGAATGTTTGTAACAGCACTATTCAGAAGAGACAAAAGGTGGAAATAGCCCAAATGTCCATCAATGGATGAATGAATAACAAAGTGGTATGTGTATGTATATGTATGTGTGTGTGTATATACATACACATATATATACACACACACACACACATATATATACACAATAGACTATTATTTAGCCATTAAAAGGGATAAATTACTGTTACATAATACAATGTTGAAGGATTTCAAAAACATTGTGTTAATTAGAAGTCAGATACAAAAGGACATATATTTTATGATTCTATTTATGTGGAATATCCATAATAGGAAAATCCATAGAGACAGAATGCAGATTAATAGTTGGCTAGGACTTGGGAGAAGAGGGAACAGGGAGTGACTGCTTAATGCCTATGAGATTTCTTTTTGGGATAACAAAAACATTTTGGAACTACATAGAGTTGATGGCTGCACAGCACTGTGAGTGCTAAATGGCACTGAGGTGAATACTTAAAAACGGTTAATTTTATGTTATATAAATTTCACCCCAATAAAATGAACACTGTTACTTTCTTTCCTCTCTAAAAATTGAAGCTTCTTATTTTTCTAGGTCAGGAAGAATCCTTTATATCTTTAGTAATAACAAGTTACTAATCCAAGCTCTTACAATGTATTGTGAACTATGATGCATGCTTTTTAGGCACCATGTTATTTAACCCTCACTGCAGTAATACTTGGCATATAGTGAGTGCTAAGTAACCATTTGTCATGTGGATGAACAACTATAGAACCAAGGTACATGTGAGACAATGAGGTCCAGAGAGTGAAGGTACTTGCCCTGGGTCTGCTGGATAGTAAATGGCAGAATTCAAACTCTAAGAATTATAGGACAAAAATATCACTTTTGGTTTCAACTCTAATGTAATGTTATGGAGAAAGACTTCAGGTTTTATAACTGGAAAGAAGGTCCTTAATGTTACTTTTTGAGCCCTATTGAAATGCAAATCTGTTAATTTGTTTGTATTGGAAAAGGTATGACCTTGGTATCAGACTGCCTGGATTTCCAACTCTCCACTATTACTAAATGCGTGGCCTTAGGAAAATTTGATTTAACTTTTCTGAAATATAGGTTTCTGATATGTTAAAAGATTGTTAAATTGATGATGGCAGGATGGACTGGTGGAGCCAGAGTTGAAAGTCAAAGCTACCTTATTCTCCTGACTTTTAAATGATGGAAACTGATGCCAAATGTTAAGAAAACACTGTACAGGCCAGACAAAATACATCTGAAGGCTACATCTGGCTTGTAAGTTACAAGTTTTTATCTCTGTATTAGTTTAGAGAAAACTGTGGCAACATGCTGCCTAGGTTTTAAGTCTAGCCATTTACTAGCTCTGTGACCTTAGGTAAGCGACTTATTCTGTCTGTTCCTCAGTTTACTTTTTTGTAAACTGGGCATAATGATAGTATATACATTAGAAAGTTGTTACAAAGATTAAGAGTCTGTGTATCTGTCTGTATGTGTGTGTAGTCACCTAGAAATAGTACTGGCATGTAGCAGTGCAGTGCAAGTATGTTAGCTAAAACAAAACAAATAGGTCCTAAGCTTCCTTTCAGCTGTAAATATTATGATTAAAGAAGAACTTATAAAGCCAATTACTTGTGCTAACTTAGTCTTTACCTTAGTTTGCTGATCTGTTGTGCCTCAGTTTATACATCTGTACAATGGAAATAGTAATGGTAATTGCCTCATATACATATTGTGAAGATTAAATGAATTAATATATAGTTAATCTATCTAAAGAACTAAGAATATTTTCTGGCACAGAGTAAGGACTATATAAGTGTTAGGCATTATCATCATTAATTTTTAAAAACATATCTTGGTGAAGCTCATGTTAGTCAATGCTGAAAAACTGCAAAATAAGTTGCTTAGAATATGGCATTGATTCTAGGAGCAATATCTGTACCATAATAATGGTGCTGAACTTTTGACCCTTCAATCAATCATTCAAAAAGCCAAAGTAGTGATGTCTGATTATAGGAAAGCTTCCCAGTCATTGCATAGTCTACTTAATGCATCCCGATACTGAATCGAGATACAAAAGAAAACTAGGCTAAATTGTATCTGTGAAGGCAGCTACTGAAATTTATTTTTAAGAGCTCTTTCTGCATCTTCCATAATATCTCCAAGAAAGAAATAAGAAAAGTTCAAATTGTGATGCACAGAGCTAATTAGAATTAGAATACCGAAGTTATAGAATTAGAATGTAGAAAGTGCTATGTTGGAAAAGAGGATCATCTTCTGCCTCCCTAGTTTATCCCTGTCTACCTGGGGTAGACTATTGCTTTGTAAATACATAATAGAAGAAAGTTACAAATGGATTCAGGTCCTGGAGTTGAAAAAAAGCGGCATCCTCACCATCATTTTTAAGGTGGGAAGAGTTTGGTATGAAAAACTAAAGAAGTCTCAGAAGGACGTGGGAGTGAGGGATGTCCAATGGGACAGAAGTCCTAATGTGACAGGAGTAGAAATATATTGCAGCCCCACACTAGATGAATAGGGAACACTGTAGGCCACAAGTTCAAGGGTGCTGGCAGAGGAATTCTAGTGTCAAAGTGACAATAAGTATTAGTGGAATCTCTTTTGAGAGGAGACAGGGATTCTTCAGTGTAAGAAGACAGGAACAAGGGGAAGTTTCATTGTGAGAAAAGCAGGGACTCTATTGCAACAAGACAGGATATAATATGAAAATGCCATTGTGAGTTGATATGAGCATTGCAAGCCCATTGATAATAAGAATGGTGAATGGAGGCAGGGAATTAAAGTGGAAAGTGGGAATAAAATAAGGGAGAGACTTGGGGTTTGTGTCAGGAAATACTGTAGAATTCTGAGTTTGAATGCACAAGCTATACTGTGAGAACCATTTTCAAGCACCATTAGCAAATAAGGAGGGGATAGAGTGCTCCTCAGTGTGACAGGACAGGGTAAAAGAGAAAATCATAGAATTATGAAAGGGGTAGTCTAATGAGAGAGAATGAGAAATGATTCTCATTGGGAGGGGTGGAAAATATAAGAAACCCCAGTAAGAAAGAATGGGGTTTCCCAGTGTGAGAAGACGAGACAAGTGCAATCCATTGAGAAGTAAGAGGAAATAATAAGAAACCCCAAAGGAAGAGGATGGCAGAATGTGGGGCTAACAGTGAAAGAACACTGTAGGAGGTGGGGAGTGAGTTTCCCAAAAAAAGATAACAAATATGAATAATGATTAGAAAAGTAGAGGCCCTTTGATAGGATAGGAGATAAATTATGGGAACCCTTGTGGGAGGGTAAAAGAGGTGACTCTAGTAGAAGACACGGGACAAGGCACTATCATCATGTGACAATAGCAGGGTCACCAGTATGAGGTGTCAGAAAATAATGTGGGGCTCCTAATAGGAAGAAGTTGAATGCTCCTCAAAGCAAGAAGTCAGGAGACTGGAGGGAACTCCAGTATAATATAATCAGGGCCTCTAGTGTGATGGGAGAGGATGTATTATAGAATCCCAGTCCCATTATAGAAAATGATTAAATGGTGAGAGCCCACAGGGAAAAAAAACTGGAGGGCTCACCACTGTGTGAAAAGGGAAGATCTTAATGGGGTAGCATAGAGTGGGCTGTGGGGTCACAAGTGGACGAAGATATGATATCAGCCAGTGTGAGAGGATCACGGGAAAAGGACAGATTCCAGTATGGGAAAAGAGGAAAGCTAGTAAGAGAGTGGAGAAAATATTTTGGGACTCTCAGTAGGAAACCTCTAGTAGGAAATCTTAGTAAGATTTTAGTAGGAGGGAAAATGGTGGGGCTGCTAGTTGGATGCGTTGGTGAGATTCCTAGTGTCAGCAAACAGTTTAAAGACACAGGGTATGTTGTTTCCTCAACTAGGTAGAGTCGGGGACCCCCAGAAGAAGAGCACAAGGTGCAAGTGGGGGCCCTCGTGGGAAGAGCCAGGGCATTTTTGTGGGTAGGGCAAAGAAATAAGAAACCCTAGGTGGGAGACGATGGAGACAGGGTGGGACCCTGGTGGGAGGGCGCAGGAAATATCGTGGGAACCCAGAGGCTGGGGACAAGGAACTCTCTATGGAGCAAAAGGAAAACCGCAGAGAGAGGGCTTGAGAACAGTGTGAAGGTAGGGCAAAAGATTATACTGGAGCATAATTTCCCCACCTTAGGTGCCGAGCCCCACTTACCCAGGCAGAGTTCAAAGACGTAGGCATAGTAGGACCAGAGCACGACGAGGACAATAACGAGCACTGGCACCCAGGACAGTACCCGGCGGCAGCACCGCAGCCCTCCAGACAGAGCCATCTTCCAGCCTCGCCGCATCTTTGGCTCGAAGATCGACCAAGCAGGCCTGTTGGCGCTGGATCGGAACTGCTTGGTTGGCGGCTGGGAGGCGGGAAGGCGCGCTGTGCGGCACTCCACTGCCTAGCCTGGCGGGAGCCCTCTCGCCGAGCAGCTACCACCTGTGGGGCTGCACTGCTGAGTGCGCCCTGCCTGGCACAATAGGATTGAGTCAGGGCTTGAGGAGCTAGCCCTGTTGGAGCTGAAGGGTGATCCGTCGGCAGTCGGGGCTAGCATGCTCAGAGGGAGTGCAGTTCTTCCCCTTTCCGTCTCCTCCCCACCCCTTGCTTCAAGGCTGGATGCAGGGCTAGACCTCAGCAAAATCGTGAAGCAGAAGAAATTTGGGTCCGCCCATCTGCTCTTACAGCACTGCGTCCGCCCTCTTCTCTGTTTCTTTCTGTCTCTCTCTCTCTCCCCCTTCGTTCTCTTTCTCCCTGCTACCCCACCACATAGTTACACACACACACGCGAGGACACACACACACACGCACTTACACACACAGGCAGTGTGAAAGATGCAAGCCATAGCATCTCATATGAAGGCCATCCAGCCCCATCCTCCCACTGCTGCTGGAACAATTTGCTTAACATGTAGTGCCGCAGTCACTGCTTGGGTAAGTCCTTTGACAGGGCACTCCCTCCTTCCCTCTTTCCTCCCCGCAGAATCAGTATAGTATGTTTTTAGAATAAACAGACTGGTATTTAAAAAAATGAGGGAGACAGTGATTCTGAGAGGGGTCAGGGAAAGCTACAAAGGTAGTGATATTTAAGCTGAGCTATATTGATAAATTCAGGAGGTCCAGGTAGATGAGAAGAGGAGGAATCTTTCAGACAGAGGAAATAGCATTTACAAAGTCATAAAGTAATGAAAGTCCAAAAATGTTCTAGGAACAGCTAGTGTGGCTTGAAGAGAGTGTGTGTGAAGAGCAGAGGCTAAGAATGAGACTGAGAATATGAGGCCATGGTGTGAAGGCTCTTATATGTCCTAGCAGGGCATGGGGACATAATCCTGTAAAGCAGTTTGGGGGAAATGGAGTGACATCAGAGATATGTTTTTGTAAAATAACTGGCACGATTTTGGAGAGGAAGATGGCCTGGAAGTAGGAAGATCAATTAGGAGGTAATTTAATTCAACAAATGCTTTTGGAGTGGTTGCTTCCTGTTAGATCAACTTCGGTACAAAAAAATGACAAAATAGTGGGCCTGACCCCAAGAAGCTCATGTTCTCACTGGGGCCATAGTTGTTCATTGACATAAGTACAATAATACAAGTATAGCAGGCTCTTGGCATTTATGGATTTGACACACACTGTTTTTTCCAAAGGTCTTTTACATTAAGAAATTTGTGATTTTGCTCAGATGCATGTGTGATTCACATTCTGTGTGACTACTGTGTGAGAGAAAGTATTTCTACAAGGTTGTTCTCTGTTCTTTATTTATGGTTATATATGCAGTAAATTGCCTAAAGTGATAAGAGCTTTATTGTTTCTTTCCAGATTCAGCTATTTTTATGGTTGATGTTACTAAATTCATGATGCAATGAAATGCAGAGTTTATTTTAGTTACAATATTTATAGCTCAATTAATTATTTGAGCCCTAAGGTTCTGACACGTATACTTAAATTTTCCAATATTCATTAATGTGGGGCTCTTGAAACATGTGTTTTGGTATTGTCAAGGGTATGCTATTTAAACCAAATAGCTTTGAGGAGGCAATGATTAAGGGTGAAAGGGAAAGTCCAAGTTGGGTGTTGAATGATGTCTAGGAGTTCACCAAGAAGATCAGAGATGGGAGTAGGATTTAATGGAGGAGGGGATTCCAGGCAAAAGGAAATATGTAGTGGCAAACATATGCAAAACAGCACAACATACTTGAGGGACTGCAAGTAGCCTGGTTTTGCTGGAAGATATTACAGTAGTCTAACCAAGAGATGGTAAGAGCCTAGGCCTGAGATAGGATATGAGGGAAGGGAGAGGAGGGGGAAGATGTAATTGTTTTGGGGGGAATCAACAGAATTTGTCAACCAGTTGGCAGGTGAGGAGTGAGATAAGTTAAAGTTAACAACCAGATTTCTAACTTCAATGCCTGAATGAGCAGTGTTGCCAATCAATATGATAGGGGCTACTGTGAGAAGAGCAGATTTGGTGGGGGAAGGTGATAACTTTCATGTTTTGACATTATTAGTTTTATCTAAATCTTCCTCTTCAGAGGTTACCTGGACACTAATCCAATAGTCTGGGGCAGGGAACTTATGACAGGGATAGCTCATACCCAGACTCATGGAGGGCCAAGAACCAGAGAGACAAACCATGTTCAAGTGTGCACATCAAAGAATGGCAAACTATACTTATGGGCCAAATATGACCCACTGACTTTTTTATTAATAAAGTTTTATTGGAACACATTCATATCAATTTGTTTACCCATATTCTATGGCTGTTTTGAACAATGCTGGGTTGGAGTAGTTGTGACATAGGTCATATAGCATGCAAAGCCTACATTTATTTAAATTTATTTTTAAAGAGTTTATTTATTAGAGCAATGTTACATTAACAGCAAAATCGAAAGGAAGCATCAAAGATTTCCCTATCTCCACATGCATAGCCGTCCCCATTATCAACATCTCCCACTAGAGTGGTACATTTGTTACAATCTATGGATCAGCGTTGACACATAATTATCATCCAAAGTTCATGTTTATTCAAGAGTGAATTAGCATTCACTCTTGGTGTTGTACAGTCTGTGGGTTTGGACGAATATATAATGACTTGTATCCACCATTACAGTACCATGTAGAGTATTTTTGCTGCCCTAAAAATACTCTATGTTCTGCCTGTTCATCTCTCCCTCTCTGCAACTCATGGAAACTATTGATCTATTTACTGGTACCATTGTTTGCCTCTTCCAGAATGTGTTGTAGTTGGAATGATACAGTATTTAACCTTTGAAGATTGCCTTCTTTCACTTAGTAGTATGCACTTAAGATTTATCCATGTCTTGATAAGTCATTTCTTATTAGTGTTGAATAATATTCCATTTCCTGCATGTTCCACGGTTTATTTGTCCACCCACCAACTGAAAGATATCTTGGTTGCTTCCAAGTTTTGGTCATTATGAATAAAGCTGCTATAAACATTCATGTGCAAGTTTTCACGTGGACATACATTTTCAGCTCATTTTGGTAAATACCAAGGACGGAGATTGTTGGATCATTTGGTAAGAGTGTATTTAGTTTTGTAAGAAACTGCCAAAGTGTCTTCAAAAGTAGCTGTACCATTTTGCATCTCCAGCAGAAATGACTGAGAGTTCCTGTTGCTCTACATCCTTGCCAGAATTTGGTGAGGTCAGTGTTCTGCATTTTGGCCATTGTAAAAGTCTGTAGTGGTATTTCATTGTTTTAATTTGCACATCCCTGATGACATATAGTGAGGAACATTTTTTCAGAAGTTTATTTGCCATCTATATATCTTCTTGGTGAGGTGTCTATTCAAGTCGTTAGTCTTTTCTTTTTTTGAGATGCTTGCCTCTTTATTGTTTAATTTTAAAGATGTTTTTGTGTATTTTAGATTACAGCTCTTTATCATATGTGTCTTTTGCAAATATTTTCTTTCAGTGTGTGGCCCTTTTATCCTATTGCTAGTGTCTTTACCAGAGCAATATTTTTTAATGAAGTCCAGCTTATTAATTCTTTCTTTTATGGATTGTTGCTTTGGCGTTCCATCTAAAAAGCCATCACCAAACCCAAGGTTATATGGATTTTTGTGTATGTTATCTTCTTGGAGTTATACAGTTGTGTGTTTTATATTTAGATCTGTAATCCATTTTAAGTCAATTTTTATGAAAAGTACATAAAAATATACTAGATTAATTTTTTTGTGTCTAGATTTATTTTTTTGCATGCGGATGTCCAGTTATTCCAAAACCATTTGTAAAAATGATGATCCTTTCCAGCACTTTGGGAGGCTGAGGCCAGTGGATCACCTGAGGTCAGGAGTTCTAGACCAGCCTGGCCAAAATGATGAAACCCCATCTCTACTAAAACTACAAAAATTAGCCAAGCATGATGGCACTCACCTATAATCCCAGCTACTGGGGAGGCTGAGGCAGGAGAATTGCTTGAATCTGGGAGGCAGAGGTTGCAGTGAGCCGACATTGCACCACTGCATTCCAGCCTGGGTGACAGAGCAAGACTGTCTCAAAAAAAAAAAAAAAAAGATCTTTTCTCCATTGTATTGCACTCACCTCATTTTAAACATCAGGTGATTGTATTTATGTAGGTCTATTTCTATTTCTAGGCTCTCTATTTTTTTCCACTGATCTGTTTATTGTTTCATCAATATCACAGTGTCTTATTGTTGCTTTATAGTAAGTCTTGAAGTTGGGTAGTGTCAGTCCTCCAACATTGTTTTTTTTCCAACGTTGTGTTATGTTCTGGGTATTTTGCCTCTCCATACAATCTTTAGATCCATTTTGTTGATATACACAAAGTAATTTGCTGGGATTTTGATTGGGATTGTATTGAATCTATAGATTGGGAAGAACTGACATCTTGATAATATTGGGTCTTCCTGTCTGTGAACATGGAACACCTTTCCATTTATGTAGTTCTTCTTTGATTTCATCAGAAGTTTGTAGTTTTCCTTATATAAATCTTGCACATATTTTGTTAGATTTCCATATAAGTATTTCATTTCTGGGGTGCTAAAGTAAATGAGATTGTGTTAGTAATTTCAAATTCTACTTGTTCATTGCTGCCTATAGAAAAGTAATTGACTCTCAGGCTTGTAATCCCAGCACTTTGGGAGGCCAAGGCAGGTGGATCACGAGGTCAAGAGATTGAGACCATCCTGGTCAACATGGTGAAACTCCATCTCTACTAAAAATACAAAAAAAAAATTAGCTGGGCATGGTGGCACGTGCTTGTAATCCCAGCTCCTCAGGAGGCTGAGGCAGGAGAATTCCCTGAACCCAGAAGGCAGAAGTTGCCGTGAGCCGAGATCATGCCATTGCACTCCAGCCTGGGTAACAAGAGCGAAACTCTGTCTCAAAAACAAAA